CTGGCTATGTTACACTTACTAGATAGACATTTCTAAACTCAAAAGGGACCTAACCAAAGAGAACATCTTGTGCAATTGCCATCCCAAGTGACTAGAGTTTTAGCATTAACAAAGACCAAGATATCGGATTAGAGTGCTCATTACTCTCATAGTTGATTTGGATTCTGATATGAAGCTATCATCAGGTTTAAGAAATCCTGATTTCTAGACATTTCTTTGGGCGGTGTAGTTGAGTGTTGAAGATTAAAAAACCGTAACGTGTGATTTTCAGTGTCTACAATATAGTAGATCTTCCATGGAAAAGTTTTGTCTCTAACAAGATTTCATGGAGGCTCGCGCATCAGATCAATGAACTATGAGACCGGATAAAGAATTTCAACAGTTAGCTCTATGCGCCTAGTTAGTGCTAAGTTTCAAACTTTTTACCAATCAGAAGAAGAAGAAAGTTTGTGACCAATCTGAAGCTTTGGGAATATCCGCAAATGCAAAGCTGGTTTCGATTCTCTAACACAAATCTGAATCTTCAGCTTACAGATTTGAAAATTTTAAGGTTTTTAACATACTCAGAACACTCACAAAACAGCCACAATACCTCAAAAAGATTATCATAAAAACTTCAACTTTCATAGATTCAGAACCATGTTCCACAAAATCCGTAACAGTTACATACTTCAAAACCTCAAAAACAACACTTAAAAAACAACAAGAAACAGAATCAAGATAAGACCAATATCAGCTTTAAAAAAGCTCATCTTCATCTCTCAAATACTCTCCAATATCAGCTTGATGAAGTACAACAATCCCATTCGGATCCAATTTCCGACAATCCTGCGTACTCTTCGCCGCAATACCAAACCCTAAAGGAACATCAGACATAGAGAACACAACAACTCCATCTCCAGGTACAATACCATCAGTAATCCTCCCTAATCCACCTTTCAACACATGATTCCCATAAAGAAACGACATTTCCGATGTGGGTTTAAGCCATACCTTGTGTTTAGCATTCGCCGCCAGTAGATTCAACGACATGATCGTAAGGTGGAAACTTCCGGCGTGTGTGTACTTTCCGATGCAAGTTCCGAGAGACATAAGGTTTTTCCGGGAGATGTTTGTTGCTCGTTTCACTAGTGATTCGCTTACGTAGTAGACTCTGTTTTTCTGGAGACGGAAACAGTAGCGACCTGGTTCTGATTCGGGTCCTTCGTTTGATGGGTTTTCGACGATGTTCTTGAGGTTGGTGCCGACGAATTTGAAGATCTTCTCGAAGACGACGGTGGTCTCGTTCTCGTCTAAAGGACGCATCTTTTTTTTTGTGGAGAAGAAAGTAGCTCTCTGTTTTCTGATTTTGGAGATTTGAAGCTTTTTCTAGGGTTTTAGAGATTTTAGTACCAAACCTAATGCGGCTGGTGACTTGAGTTTCTCTAATTTCCAAATTTAATCCTTTAGTTATTAAAGTATTACGATTCCAGCCCCATCACTTTTCTTATTTGGGTCTTAGGAAAATAACTTCAACAAAACTCCTTTTTAAACTCTTTCTCAGCTCAAAAACATGTTTTATGAATCCAATTGTAATTTCAATTTATGATTTTGAAATTAGAGCCTTATGAATCCATTGGTAATCTCAATTTTATGGTTTTGAAATTGAAATATAGGTAAACCGGTGTTAAAAACTCTTAGATTCCATTAAACCGGTTGGTCAACTTTTTTTTTAACTTTAAACTATAAAAGTTTTAGATATAGCTCAACCTCCAAATCGATTATCCAGAACTTTTTTTTTTAGTAGTAGACCACAACGGGCCGGCCCACTAGTCCATTTAAAGTCTCACAAGGAGACCAACTGGATTCGAACCTAGGATGCCTGAGAACGTGCAAAGTGGATGCAGCCACTGCACTACGATGCTCTCGGCATCTAGAATCTCCTACGCATGAATTTGATATCACTTTTATTTTTTTGTTTGATTGGTAAAGGTTAGGAGTGTCGGATATCAATCTAAGTCCCACATCGGAAGTTTAGAGAAGAATAGTCTAATATATAAGTAATGTCCAACTCCAATTAGTATGAGGTATTTTGGAAAGGAATTCAAAGACAAATCCGTGCGGGTTTTTCCTCTGGACCCAAAGCGGAAAATATCATACTAATAAAGGGAGTTGGACATAGGCTAGAAAAGCTCCACATTGGTATTCAGAGCCAGGTTCAGAGAAGTGGACCTAGAGAAGTGGGTTGGACATGTTCGTTGTGGGAGAAGAGTCCTCAAAAAGTGACCTCACGAATAAGGGTGCCAAGAGTACAAGCGGTACAAGATGGGTACTAAGTTTCGCTGAAGGTAGAAGTCCACGAGTTTATGTGGTACTTGGTTTGAAGGGGGGATTGTTGGATATCGTTTAGAAAAGAATAGTCTAATATATAAGTAATGTTCAACTCTAATTAGTATGAGGCATTTCGGAAAAGAATTTAAAGACATATCCGTTGGGTCCAAAGCGGACAATATCATACTAATAAAGGGAGTTGGACATGGGTTAGAGAAGCCCCAGAAGGAGAAATTGAAAATCGAGATTTGGCAATCAAATTGTCCTTTAATATTAGGCTTGGTACTAACCAATTATAGTATTTCTATTGATATTATTACTATCTAAATCGACAACTACCAAATATATTTAATGATGAAATTCGCTATGAATGATATATGTTTCATGATTGAAGCCACACATGTCT